CGAACTCCCCAAAAAAGTCCTTCGGCTATAACTACTGTGCTTTTTATGTATTTATAGAGCCAGAAACAGGGTATCTAGTAGTTTTCCATATTGGAAGGTTTGATCATGTAATCATGTTTCCCAATGTGTTAAATAATACATTAAATGATTAGTATAAAAAAGGAAATTCAAATCATATGTCACCATACAAAGAATTTATGATAAGTAAATAAATAATTACATGTAGTAACACAATAAATGATTAGTATAAAACTTAACGGAGTACTTTACTTCCACGTGGAAAATAATTATTCTTCGATATAGTATGAATTTCATTTCAAAAGAAAATGGAGATTCGTTTGATGCGTGCTGTTAATAAAATAAAATAAATAATATATAACATTGAGAAAAAAAATCTTTGGTCAAAACTTCAAGAATATTGTAAAATTTATCATGTTTTCTGACTCTATGGAAATTTCAATTAACATAGTAATTTCTACAGTGATGCTCTTTTAATGAATTTTAGTAAAATTATCAATGAAATATACAAGGGTAATGGAAAAAATAATGGAAACACATCTATGTATATTAATACAATTTCTCATATTTCTTCTGAAATACTTAACGAATTATTATATATCATCAGAAGTGTTTAGATCTTAGGAATTTTCATACATGTCGGTGAAGTTTAAGGCTTTTAAAGGTTTACAAATGAAAAATAATTTTGTTGAACACCATATGTCAAAAATTATAGCAATAGATTTATAACTTTTGACAGTTAGTTTAGTTATTGGATTCAATAATTACACAAAATCCCGTAAGCCTACCTTAACACTAGAAAGACTGAAACGTAGTCTATAACTATATTGCCCAAAAGCAGTTAAAATGACTGCATTGTGAAAGAATAATGTGTAAAGAAACTTGTTTAATTAATTTTTTATATGTTTTATATTATTTACAGTTATATAACAAGTTATAAGTAAATATTAACAATAAAAAAATTTACTTCACTTGGAAAGAAAATATTAATTTTTGGATTATTATTTGTACATTTTTTAGCAAATGAAAAAGTAGTTAAAAAGTAGTCAAAATGACTTCCTTTAGCATCCTAGTGTTAAATATTTATGAAGATATGAGCATTTTCATTAAAAAAAATATTTTTTTTTGTCGTAAGTCTTTTTCTATAACTTCAAAAATGTTCAATTAAACTAAACAAAAATTTTAGAGCAATTTAAAATTAATTATACAATTTTATGCTGCGCTTCCGTGGGGAAAAATAATTTCACAGTGAATTTTATTTGGCAACTAATAAAATCCAATTTCAATATCTTAAAAATTTTAAAAGTTTCAAGCAATTTTCTAATTAGTTTTCATGTTTCTTAAAATAATGCTGAAGGTGATAAGGGGTTTTCCGCATATTTTATTTTGTACTATTAAACAAGATTTTTTAAAAGTGACACCAGCAATGTTGAGAATCATCCCCCATAAAAGTATCTTTTTTCCCCGCATGTTTTCGTTCCTTATTTAATCGCATTTTGGAGTGTAAACGCCTATTGTAGGGTATTGTCGTTTGTTTTTAAATTTTGTCTTATGATATAAATAATATTTGCGAAAAAGTTTCCATTATTTTGCCCTCTCCCTACATTTTTATATGATTGGGTTCTGTGGCACATGTAGGCAAGATATTTTGAAATAATTTCATTTGCGCAGAGGAAAAACATTTTTATTGACGAACCTATATGAATAGAATTTCAAGTTTATATTTTCATTGTAAAATGTCACTATGTTCCTTTTTTAACTTTAAGACTACTTCTGAAATTTGTGTAAGCATTTCGAGTTTGAATGACTGGTTGTTAGAATGTGAACAGCGACGGAAGCACATTTTTAAGAAGTAGAGAGTTTGTGAAATTTTGTCAAAACTGTCTTTTTATTGGTTAAAGATGACATCTGATAAATTTGCAATAGCAAGCATTCCGGAGTTTGGAAGCAGGATATTAAAATGTGTGCTGCAACCCGGAGCGCATCTTTCCAACGCCACCTGTTATAAAAAAATAGAAATAGTTAGAGATATTTTGGTATAAAAAATAAATAACATGTTGTGCCTACAAACTTTTAACAATAATATCAGTACAATGCTATATATAACTAAGACAAATGTTAAATCAAAACTTTTGTTTTGCTCTTTTGTTTCGCAAAAACAAAAATATATATTGCAACGGTTTTCTGGTGCTTTCACTTATTTTAAAAGTGGTATACTCAAAAATTTTTTTGAAGCACGTCTCTAATTCTTTTTAATTACACTGTAAAATTTTCGTTTTAAAATCAAAAATAACCGGTAGCAGTCTCTCCACCCAATTAACAGTAAAATTTACAGTAAAGAATATTTTTTACCTCCATGATTTCGGAAACCTTTACAATTAGTAAGGCTCAAAAATAGATATAATAAATATAACAATAAATATAATACTCTAAGGTTTTTTTTACCATTCACAAGTTAAAACCATGCAGTTTTAAGACCTTGAGAAAGAAATTTAACTGGGCATTGAAGTTAGGCTTTTTGTTAAGAAATCTGCTTTGGAGATACGTTGTGGTTGTGTTTTATCAAATGAACCATAGAATGAGTTATAATTATATTGTTTTTCAACCTCTCGTAAGAGATGCGAAATACTATACTCTTTGCAGCTTTATGGTGCTGCCATCTGTGCGTGAGAGAGAGAGTATCATATTCTAATTATCCAGGGTATCAAATTGGGCAGTGCAGGAAGCTGGAAACTCTTCATTTGTTGAAGGGAATAGAGGTTATATAGTGGTGTCAACGAACTGTGGTATGGGGTGACTCGAACCCCCGTTCTGTCAGTCATAAGATTGGTAGATTAGATTTTTCGGCTATAACAAATACCCAGCAGCAAGGAACTAAGTTGCTTCAATATGCAAGCCTAGTTAAATTGATAAAATTCTGTTTTTTGTTAACTTCATCAGGCAAGAGCAGTTAATAAAGTTTTTCTCGCAGTTATCAGTTTGAATACCATCTCATGTATAGTCGTTTAATTTATGGAAAAATAACAATCAAATAAATTGCTTTTTAAATAATTTTTGGGAAAATTTCGAACAGTGTAAACACTGATTCGAAGCACAATTTAGTATAAGTCATCCTGTGAAAAACATAAATTCAGGGAAACAATCATTTGAATTTTAGCCAAATTTACATTTTATCACACATTTCTTATACGATACGCAAACTCATCTATTTTTATTTTACTTCAAATTGGCATAAATCATGACATTTCCTTAACTATTCCTCACATGCTTATTAAAACTAACCTTTTTGCTTAAAAATAGCAGTTTTTTAAAATAAAAAATTCTATATTGATAAAAATAAAACCTTTTTGCTTCAGCATTAAATCTGAAAAAGATTTCGGTTTTAGTGTTCTATAAATTTAAATATCTTTCCAAACATAAGAGAAACGCACTGAATAATATTCCAGGAATTTTCTAATAAAAGGATTCTTGGAATTTCGAATGGGTTAGTGTGCTATCGGTATTTTAAATATTCAGAAGAATTTTACTTAAATAACCAGAGGAGATTAAAAGAAAAAGTATCAAACTTAAGTAGGTGACAAAGGAAATGAAGAAAATAATTCAATGAAGAGTAATATTCAGGAATTTTAATTAACTAAATGCATGGATTTGGTGAAAAAAAGTAAAACATTCTTTTTTTTTATTCTAAATGAATAGTTCATGCATAAAAAACCAATTATTTCGAATTGTGTTTTACCACCTTTTTTTTAATTTCTGCTTTATATTATTATTTTCTAAATTAGATGTTTAAACTTATTGGCCTAGGATTCTCTTTTTATCTTCTATAAAACTACTGTTCTCTCTTGTTAGAGAAATGATTTTTTAAGGAATTTATGAAAAAAAAAGACTCTTATTTTTAATGATAATATAAATACGCTTAGTTATCTAGACATCTTTGCGAACTATAAAAAGAAATAACGGAAAATGTAGAAATAAAAGTTGAAAATCTCATATTTTTAATTACATTTTTTTGCTAGTCCTTCTATAGATTTGTGAAAGTTATTATGAATTTTTTATTTTACACTAGCATACTAGGAACTTTTTATTTTACACTGAACTTTTAATTTTACTTACTTACACTTGTCAGACCCTTGGTTGGCCTCACTGCTTTTGTTTTTTATAAATAGAATATTTAATCAAAAATAAAAATTGCCCATTAAAAAGATCCAATTCAAGTCATTTTAACCCTTTATTTACGGCTGGTACCATAAGTGGGCCAGAATGACTTCATCATACTAAGGGTAGTAAGCAAAATTTTAATTGCATATTATCTTTATAACTGCAAAACATCCGCAGTTTTACATGAAATTCATTGAAAGAAATTTACTTAACGAAATCTAAATGTAACTTATATACTTTTTGATGATTGAGAAATGGCAACTGTTTATGACAAAATGTTTTATAATGAGTTAGTATCAGGTCGTAATTTAAAATTTGATAACGGAACTCGAGTTTTAGCTTCAATTCACGCTTTCAATTTTATTAAAATATAAAACAGAATTAACTGAAAAAGATGAAATATGTTAAATATAAAGGTAGAATATTATCTCTATTATCTCTGCGGTATTTTTATTTTATTACCGAGAACACCCGACCCAAATCTGATTTAACAACAAGCAAATATTCAACTCCTTAGCCTTGTTATTTTGAACTCAACCCAAGAGACAAGAGGACTCTTGTTTAAAGCGCTGGGTCTAACTAGCCTCGGTGGAGGACTTTTTGATGGGACTAAGTCTCATTTGCGTTACGGGGACAAGAAGACCATGAAAATCACCCATGGTTTGCCCGAAAGCAACGGGGCTCTAAGCCATGTCTCGTTTACATTTGGGGATATTTTGCGTTTGCACTGTGGTTGGAGCGAGCTGACAGAGTATTCGTATCAACCAACCCTAATCTGGGATTCAAATCTCATTCATCCCATTGGGAGACAAACGTTTGATCCGTTGAGCGATAGAGTTAACACTTTATAGTAAAGAACTTTTTTACTGGTCCTGTCTGAAATGTTGAAATAATTTTATTATCACATTAGAGTGAACAACTAAGAAATTGGTAGCTCGTTTACAATAGATTAATTTCCTTTTTACAAGTACTTAAATAAATGTTGCAAAATATTTAGTCAGTATGATGTGTTTAAAAGTGCATAATTGTAACTTTTAATTAAAGACAGTAAAGTGATTTACATAGTAAAGAAGTGTTTGAAATGAGATATTTCTCTGGATAGATTAAAGTAATTGCTCCCAATAATAGGTATACAGGAAAAAGAATTTGTTGCAAAGAAATTCCAGCTTTAAACTGCAATTTTTTTCAAAAAGTGACGTCGTCACTTTTGAGGAATTTGTTATAGGTAAAAAAATCTCGTCTTCATAGGAACGAAACCTTCAATTTTATCTAAAATTTCGATTAAAGTTTTCGCCATAAAAAGAATTTTGCTGTAAGGAAATCTCTTCGTTGTGGAGGGACTCTACTTGCAGGGTCCACTGAGGGTTCATTATAACGAGGTCGGACTGCATTTTTATATAAGAATAATCAAGAAGCTGAGCTTTCTACTTCCAAAAAACATGATTACCTTAAAATATTTAATTGCAGATGATACAATGGCTAGGCGATAGAATGGTAAATTGTCAACATTTTAATTCCTAGAATTGAAACCATTTTAATTCCGTGGGATAAAATTCTTATATTTCAGTATTATAGAAATCAGTCATGTAGTAATGAAGCCAGTATGCAACTGTAAGTCTAGGGAAAAGTAATGCATAGAAAAAATTTCTTCTGATATAAGATCAGTCAGAAGTCACTGGGTGCAAGATCGGTACTGTAGGATGGATGGTCAAGCACCTCCCAGTGAAATTTTTTGCAGTGGAGCTCTTTTTGTTAAATTTGTTGTAATCGGGTAAGTGCTGTGGTTTATATATGCCATTTGTATTTTTATTAGATAGCCTGTTATTTGTATTTATGTTGGATTGTATTTATATCAGTTGAATTTATGTTAGATTTTAAATATGTTGTTTGTTAATCAGGATTCTTTAAACTAGTGCTCGTTTGCTAGTTTCAGAAAACAACAAACTTATTTTTTCAATTCTTATGGTTGACTCTCTCAAAGTACTCAGATGAAACTAACGTTATTGCCAATACGAACTTATAATAAGGAATTAGAAACCACCATAACTACCTTTTTTTATCAGACTTTCGTTTTCACCAGTAATAGTTAAACTATATTAATACTATATATTTGAAAATAATGCGTAAAAAACAGTATATCTCAATATGCGAAAACTGAATACATTAAATTTGAATGATTAAAAAAAAAACTAGGAAAAGTTTTATTAAATTTTAAACTCAATCATTTTCTTCCATTTTTAAAGAATATTTTTTTTAATCATGCATAAACATGAACAAGAAAATAGACGAAAAAAAAACTTCATTATACTACTACTAATCTTTGCAAGAAAGTTTTAGGCTGTATACTTGTTCTCCATTTTACTCACACATTTTATTAGAATTTACTGAGTGGTAAGACAACGTGCTGGCTAGTTTAAAGATGATGTAAATTCTAACTATGCGGAAGTTATAAAACTAAAGCGGACTCACATTTATGAACCATTAGAAGGAGACACAGGGAATATTTTAACCTCCTTGCAGAGTGAAAACGTGAATAAGAGATGGCACTAAATCTCGACTGAACTTGCGCTTTATTACGTGTAAAATGATTTTGAACTTATAACTTCTTTCTTTATGCTTCGGTGGTTCTCGGAAATATGGATTGAACTTTCAATAAAACTTAAATTTTTATTACTCTTAAACTTTAGAAGGCAGCCACAAGTAAGCAACTTAAGGTTTAAGTACTTACGGTTGCTAAACATTCACAAAGAGAATGCGATAATTAAATATCATTTAATGAAGTTAACCATAAAAAATTAAAATATACATTTTTGCAATATTTTATGCTTCTTTTTAAATAAG